TCTCTGTCTCAGAAATAAATAAACATTAAAAAATTAAAAAAAAAGAAAGAAAGAAATTGGTTCTTTAGAATTCACAAGCCTTTAGCTAGAATGACAAGAGAAAAAGCTCAAATTACTACAATCGGGAATGAAAGAAGAACATTACTATCAAGCTTACAGAAAGAAAAAAAAGCTCTGAAGGACTATTAACCAACAACTCTGTGCCAACAAATTAGATAACTTGCATGAAATAAGAAAATTCCTAGAAAGACAAACCGGCTTTTGTTGTTGAGTCGAATGTGTCCCCACTGAAAGATATGCTGAAGGCCTAACTCCTGGTGCCAGACAGTGTGATCTTACTTAGAAATAGGGCTTGTGCAGATGTAACCAAATAGATGAGGTCACCAGGGTGGGTCTCAATGCACTTACTAATGTCCTTTCAAGAAGACCATGTGAAGACACAGAGACACACACACAGGCAAGAAGGCCATGTGAGGACAGAGATTGGGATGACTCAGCTGGAAGTTAAGGAACGCCAAGGATTGTTGGCAACCATGAGACTCTTGGTAAAAATACGGGCATTAAGAGCAATTCTGGGGGTGCTTGGGTGGCTCAGTCAGTTAAGCATCTGACTACGGCTCAGGTCGTGATCTCTCGGTTAGTGAGTTCAAACCCCCCATCCCGTGCCGCCCCAGTGCAGAGCCTGGAGCCTGCTTTGGATTCTGTGTCTCCCTCTCTCTCTGCCCCTCCCCCGCTCACCTTCACCCTCTGTCTCTGTCTCTCAAAAAATGGGTAAAACATTTTACTTATTTTTAATTTTTAATTTTTTTAATGTTTATTTATGAGAGAGAGAGGCCACATATTTACATGAAATATCTCCACAAGGCCAGTCCACAGAGACACAAAATAGATGAGTGGTAGTCTAGGTCTGAAGGGAGGAGTTGGAAGAAAATGGAGGGACAGGGGGTCAGGGTTACTTTTTGGAGTAATGAATGTTGAAACTGATTGCAATTGGTGATGGTTGCACAACTGGGTGAATACACTAAAAATCACTGAACTACTTTAGGTAGATGAACAGTATGGTATGTGAATTAATTCTCTATAAAGCTGGTATTTTTTTTTTTTAATTTTCTTTTTAGTTTTATTTAGAGAGAGAGAGAGAACATGAGCACGGGAGGGGCAGAGAGAGGGAGTGAGAGAACCCCAAGCAGGCTTTGTGCTGTCAGCTTGGAGCCCAATGTGGGGCTCGAACTCACCCAGGCACCCCTATAAAGCTGGTATTTGTTAAAAAGGAAAAATAAGGCCGTGAATTGTGGATTGAACTAAGAAAAAAATCCCAATGTTGAAATAGAAGACTAGCCCAGGGCTGTTTACCAGAACCCACGAAAAGAACAAAGATAAACATAGAAAGATGATGAACAGATCACACAGATATTGGAACAGTCTCAAAATTCGAAAGAAAAAGAAGAGAATCCACCAGCATCTAGGAAAATAATCAGATTAACTACAATGGAAAAAAACTGGGGTGGCCCAGGGCTTCTCTGCAAAACCCAATGTTGGAGCCACATCCGTGTCCCTGGCGGGCAGACACTGGCACCTAAGCTGCATCAGGAAGACAAAGACAGCGATGGCTGTGGGCCTCCCAGGACTCCCGGCAGCCACCAGTGATGGAAGCCTACAGAATGGTTAAGGGAGCTCCCAGATAGGTTACAAAAAGTGCTTACTCTTTTAAAGAGATCACCCGCTAATTCTCCCCCAAATTTTCTCCTTTCACTCAGTACATATTTTTTGAGCACCTACCCTGTAGTGAACAAAGTAGGCACAGCTCCTGTCCTCGTGTGACCCAGAACCCTTCCCAGTGGCCGGGAACCCGGAACTGTCCTGGATGCCTGTCTTCTTCTACCTCACCACTCAGTTATCACTTTTTGTTGTTGTTAACAATGTTTATTTTTGAGAGAAAGAGAGTGAGCGTGGAAGGACCAGAGACAGAGGGGCACAGAGGATCAAAATGAGCTCTGTGCTGACAGCAGAGAGCCTGTTGCGGAGCTCGAACTCACGAACTGTGAGATCATGACCTGAGCCGAGGTCAGACACTCAACCGACTGAGCCACCCAGGCGCCCCATCAGTTATCGCTTCTATCACTTCACCACATGTCAGTCCCCAGCACCTGTCCCAGTTCTTACCACAGGGTAGGCCCGCATAAATATGTGAATAACTGAATAAACATCCTGCAAATCCATCCACTTCTCTCTCTTGCACTGCTGCCAGCCAAGTTCCAGATGTCATCACCTAACCAGGCCACCGTAAGCACCTTTAACCGGTCTCGCTTCTCCAGCTTGTCCCCTTTACCTCACCCCAACAACAAAACCATTCTCTACACCCACTGGGGTGACCCTTCTACAATTCAAATCTGATCTCATTACCAACTTGCACTTCAGGCAATAGTGGACTAGCTTGTTTAGACCAACCCTCCAGGGAGAGCAACTAGAAAACCCAGATAGAAAAAAATTTATATTTGTTTGATATTATCATAGAGCTCCAGGCAGAGGGGCCATGAGGGGCCAAGGTCTTGGAGAACAGGGAAGCCCAAAGCGGCAAACCTGCTAACGGCATCATTTTGTTGCTTTGAAAATGGCAGTTAGGGGCGCCTGGGTGGCTCGGTCGGTTAAGTGTCCGGCTTTGCCTCAGGTCATGATCTCGAGGTTCGTGGGTTCAAGCCCTGCCATCAGGCTCAATGCTGACAGCTCAGAGCCTGGAGCCTGCTTCAGATTCTGTATCTCCCTCTCTCTCTGTCTCTCCCCCGCTCACACTCTGTCTCTCTCTCTCTCAAAAATAAATAATAAAACATTTTTAAAAATTAAAAAAAAAGAAAAGAAAGTGGCAGTTAAAAGGATGAGAAGCTGGGGGGTGGGGGAGATGGGTGAAGGTAGTAAAAAGGTACAAACTTCCAGTGATAAGATAATTAAGTCTTGGGGAATATAATGTACATCACGGTGACTATAGTTAACAATAGTCTATTGTCTATTTGTAAGTTGCTGACAGATTAGATCTTAAAAGTTATCATCACAAGAAAAAAATGTGTAACTATGGGAGATGACAGATGTTAACTTATTTTAGTAATCACTTTGAAACATACACATATACCAAATCATCATGTTGTACACCTAAAACTACTACAATGTTATATGCCAATTATATCTCAATAAAACCAGGGATAGTGGGGAGAAGGAGAAGCCAAGCAGGAAGTATAGGGACTGAGTGGACACAAGCCTGGCAGAACTGGCAGCAATCTTGGGCTGAAGGGACAAAAAAAAAGGTTGGGCCCACAAGTCTTTCCATCAGAATCTTAAAGGCTATATTATAGGAGACGGAGGAAGACCTGGGAGTTGAGTGGCCTCCACAAATTCAAAATACAGCTTTGGGGGTGCCTGGGTGGCTCAGTCAGTTAAGTGTCCCACTCTTGATTTTGGCTCTGGTCATGATCTCACAGTTTGTGAGTTCAAGCCCCAGGT